GACCGGGCTCTAAAGCAGATGGTCGGAGCATTCGCTCCCTTACAGCAGTCCTCCAGAGGAACCTTGAAGCCTCGGTTTTCCCAGTAAAACTGGGGATTGAACCCCAGGCCTCAGGCGTGTTAGGTCTGAAGCCTGCCGATGCACTATGGCCAGCCCACATGTCTGTCGGCGTGGTGGCACACATCTGTAATCCCAGCACTTGGGAGGCAGAGGTAGGAGGATCGTTGTGAGTTCAAGGCCAGCCTGGGCTACAAGGTGATTTCAAGACCAGCTTGAACTTCATAGTGAGACCCTGTCTCAAAAAGACAAAAAAAAAAAAAAAGTAGCTGGGAGGAGGAGACCTGGAGAGACAAGCATGAATGGGACAGGGACACATGGAGAAGGTGTGACAGGGTTGGGACCGGAGACGAGTGCCGTTGGAAGTAACCTAACTCGAATAGGTCCCCCAGGGGTGGGAGTGGGGACTCACCCACACCGGGATGGAGCCGCTTTGCCTTGTCTGCGGAGCAACGTGAACGAGCGAATAAACAGACCGTCTGTGTGGCCCTGCACTTCTCGCGTCCTCAGTTTCTCCTTCTCCCCAATTCACATGGCCTCACTGGAGGGGCACCTTTGGAGAAAGGCACTATGGAAACAAGGCGGCCCCACAAACGGGCTCACGTCAAGAGCAGGGCGTCGTGTTTCTTTGCCACTGGACTGGGGTTCTGCGCTCTCCATGACGCACTCAGAAGCCAGAGGAGGAGAGAACTCCTACCTGAACATACAAAGTTCCTCTGTATGACACGAAGGGTCGTGTCCAAGGTGAGTGCTAAGAGGAAGTAAATCTCAAACACTTAAGTTTGTCACACAGATAATGACTGTACTTCTTGCTATGTCCTAATGTTTTTTAGAAATTAAATTTTTCTAAGGAATCTGACTAAAGAAAGTGTTTGCTGTTACCCAGTTCACCCATGCAGTTCAGTTACTGGACTTTCCATTCCACTTGTGGCTTGCTGAGTAGGTTTCTGTGATAGTCTTGCGCCTGCGACGTGAGCGGAGCGCAGCCGTGGCAGTGCGGGAGCAGGACGTGACTCTAAGCGGCTCTTCTCATCGTCTTAGCAACAAGCACTCGCAGCTATTCAAGAACTCACAGAAATGTTTCCATATCCTGAACTGTAAAAGTCTACTGTGTTCTTCTGAGCCCCAGGGACTTCCTCTCTGTTTAGCCATAAAAAATTTATGCTAATCATACTTATTTTCTTTTTCTCCTTTGTTTTTGTTTCTTCTTTACGTTTTAGTTTTTAAGCAAAGGCAATAAAAATTGCTATAAATCAAAAATGCTGGTGTGGAAAGCTATTCCCATCAAGCTCTCTCCGGATGCTGCACGGAAGAAGGCACAGATGGGCCTCACGGTCCCGCGCACTGGCGTAACGAGGGCGGCTGCAGCACCCAGTAAGTCCACTGCCGGGAATGAGTCTACAGCTCTCTGTCCTGGAATTCCAAGAATTCAAACGAGCCGCTCTCATACTCCTGGGACTTGCCGACAGCATCAGTCTTTGAGTGTTTGGCCCAGACAGAGGCTTACATTTCTGTCAAAGTCAGGGTTATTAACAATACAGCAACCACGAGCCACACGCGGCTGATCACTGGAGACGTGGCCAGTCTGAGGGGGCTCTAAGAGGTAAACATGCACTGGATTTCACAGATGCAGTACAAAAGGAATACATACTGTCTCATCAATATTTTTGATTTTAACATTATTTTAAAATATTCATTACATATTAAAGTAATAATGTCTAATGCTGAGGTTCAGTGAAATGTTATTACAGTTTATGTCACCTCTCTCTGTTTTAAATTCCATGCTCGGGGCGTACTGTATCTGAAACGGACAGTGTGCTTAGGCTGCTGCTCCCCTCGGAGGCCCCAAGGAGGCGGTGGAGCATGGCGGGCAGGGCCGGGACACTCAGCTCAGAGGGGCCTGGGTTCCGCTTCCCTCTCCTGCTCACACCCCGCAGCACTTGGCACGCTGCTCATCGTCTCCCAATCTGCATGTCGTCATTTATAAACAGGAACAGCGGCAGTCCTCCCCTCCCAGCGGTGATCAGCTCGAAACTGCTCAGACCTAGAGATGCCTTGAGTTCTTAGAATGAGGATTAAACTGTACATTATATGGAAGAGCACAACCTTTGATTTTTTTTTTGGTTTTTCCCCGGTACCAGGAATTGAACTCACAACCTTGCACTTGCCAGGCAGGCGCTGTGCCGCTGAGCTAAATCCCCAGCCCAGAAGAGCACAACTTTTAAAAGTATACAACTTTAATAACTCAAAAGTTAACCTGAGAAATAGGGTACAAATCTCAAATAAATATCAAAACGTCAAATCAACCACATTTAAAATATTCTTTATTTTTCTTGCCTTTGACCAATGGCTACTGGCTCAGAAACATATTAAGTAGAAGCAAAACTCAGAGTTATCTAAATGTAGATTAGCTCTTCTGTCTCCTGGGTCACCTGTCTGTGTCACTTAGCCATGCAACCTCAGCATGATGTAAACCACCTTTATTGCTCCCCACAGAGAGATGGCTATGCTGGCGATCTCCCAAAAAGCAATCACACAGCTGCACGGCACGGTGGCGCATGCCTATAATCCCAGCACTCTGAGAGGCTAAGGCAACATGTTCATAAATTCCAGCCCAGCCTGGACCACTGCACAATGTGGTGGGTGAGATAGTGTCTCAGAATGAAAAAAACGGAAAAGAAAAGAAAGAAAAGGACCAGGGATGTAGCTTAGAGCAAAAGCCCTGGGTTCAATCCTCACTACTCCCTCCAACCAAATCACACGCAACCAGAAAGTTTAACATGAGGTAATTCCCGGGTTGGGCAGCATGGTAGTGGAAAGTGAACAGGACGAGGTGTGAGGCCAGGTGCTCAGCCCCGTGTCAGCCATAGCCTAAGCCGAGGTCACTCGAGCTCCCTGAAGGAGCCCTAGAGGTAAGCGTTCTATCCTTATACACATGCCACTTGTCTGCAAACTGGAAGGGTCACAAATATTCACAGTATCACTTTAATTTCTTGGGCTCTAAGATTGACCCACACTAGGATTTTGCTACTTTGTTCTACAGTGCAATGTGAACGGGCAGAGGGTGAAATGGGTGCCTTTCACACAACAGTTATTAGGACCTCTGCTTCTTCTCCTTCCCTATGCAGTGTGGAGTATCATCAAAATAAAGGTACTCAGGAAATGTAATTTTACAATGAAACCCTTCCATTTGGTTTTTTTGGGAAAAAATACTCATCAGTACGATTTTTGAAACCACTAGCATAAAATCTGGGTACCCAAAAAGACCATGAGGGAATTTTATCCAGTCGTTCAGTTATTTTGCCTTTAGTGGAACATACACATACAACAGTGACTTTAAAATATGAGTCCTCAGACTTACACATAAAGAAGTAGTGCTCATGGAAAGCATTACAGTAAAACACAAGTGTCGTACCCTCCCGGACCTGGTGTTCTTTGCTGACTGGAACTCGCTTACTCTCATCTTGGACTTGTTACTGCTTTTTAAGGGAGCATCTGAGACACATTAAACTGCCTTTTTCTGCCCCCGTTGAGTATTCTTCATTCTCAAGTTTCTATCAGTCTTGACAGTGTGAACCAATTTGAAAAAAATAAGTCCGTTTATACTTTATTTCTTTTACTTTACTGAGTGGTGTTCTTTTAGCTATACTTCAGCATATGGATAAAGCCACTCTTAAACATAAAACTCCAGACCTAAGATGGTACCTATCAGCTTATACGACATTAAATAATTCTGTGATTAACTCACCCAGATGCTTCTGTTGAAATGAGATTAAATAAAACTATGCATTACCATTCAAATTAGTAAGAAGTATCAATACTTATATGAATATGTGAAAGTCAAGGAGCAGACGAGAAGGAAAAGAAGAGGCACCTTCCTAAGTTACGGCCACAATGAGGACACCCTGTGAAGTATAAACCATCAAGGGGAGGCAGCCAAGTGTGCTCCAAGTTTAGAAATGGAAAACAACTCCGTCAGTGTGCAGAATGTCAGCATTCTGGCAGGACAGACAAATACATCATTGCTGTCTGATTCAAGTCATTTTCATCTTTTACGTTCCCATTTTTGATGTTTTACATTATTTGCTAAGTTTTCAAGCTAAGTTCTATAGCCACCACCACTGTTCTGCTATTGTCATACCAGCAACGGGCCTAGAGGTCACATTAATCAAAATGCAGTAAACCTTTCCTTTAGTCTTGGGTAACACTAAGTACTGTCCACCTCCACCAGGGCAGTGAGTGAGAAGTGAGCACGGGGGTTACGCCCGAGAGCTCAGTCCAGGACTAGGAGTGAAATCACCACTGCTCATTCCAGTGCTCATCCCCGCAGCTTCCCTTTGCTTCTTACCTGCAGCCAAAACCAGGTGTGAGTGTGCTTATGCATCTGGTCACATCTGCAGGGAACACTGCTTTTCCCAAAGTATATTATGAAACATTTGTCATGAAAAATGCTAGCTAGTAGGTGGGGGGAGGGAGAGGGACAGAGACAGAGACAGTGACAGAGAAAAGAAGGAAGGACAAATAGAGAAAGAAAGAGAGAGAGAGAGAGGAAGAGAGGAAGGGGAGGGAGACAGACTGGGAGATGCTAAGTCTGTTTCTTACTTGAAGATTCACAAGGCGAATCAGCATATAAAGCCTCTTGCAATAAAGGAGCCATGCCTGCTTAACCCAGCACATCACACCTAAATTGGTTTGGTCATGTAAGCCATCCCCGTTCCTTCCCTTACAGTCTACAAATGTCTCCCAGAACTAGTATTTCCAGAAAGACTCTGGGAAACATTTTCTAACAGGGAGGAGGATGAGTTGAGATGAATAATCCATTCTTCCACAGTTTGGAAACCCTTCAGCTCCAGGAAGAGGCCACGAAGGACACAGAAAAGAGCGGCGAGAAGGGAAGGGTTTCTTGAACAGAGGCTGCCGGCTCAGGGTGATGAGCCACTTACTTCAGGAGGTTCCCGAGGTTGAACAGCGCACGGCTGTGCTGCGGGTGGAGCTGCAGGGCCCTCTGGTAGTAGCGCTTCGCCTCTGCGGCATCTCTCGTCAGTGTTCCCAGGTTGTTCAGCGCACTCGCGTGGCGTGGGTACAACCTGCGAGACGGGGAGTGGTGAGCCACGCAACACCGAATTCTTCCCTCCCTGTAACGGTCTGTGTCACACTCAGTGGTCAGCTGTTTCTATAGCTCAAAGCAAACAGCACATCCTTGAGATGCAGAGGTACAAATAAATAACGCCCAGATACAGCAGTAAGTAATAGTAACTCTACCAGGATTAAGTAATTTTTTTGTCCTTCAGGACCTCCAATTACTCTTTAACTTGGGTGATAAATTCTTCCTTGCCTCATGGGGAGTTCCTCAGTGGAGGGGCTACAAAGGCATTTCTTCTATTATACAGCCCGCCATGTAACATGTCCCCACCAAAATAAAGCACCCCAAAGCGGCTCTCCATCTTCACTTGCTTTTTCATTTGTTTTCTTTTTTCCCCTTCATTCCCCTTCACCTACTGCATTTTGGTTCCACCTGGCTGGATACAGTTTCTGGAATAAAAACCCTGAAAATTTAAAACACTTAAAAATAAAAAGTTAAACAATGCATAATGAAGTTGAAAGCAGTGTTCCTAATGTTCTCAAAGCAAGCGTAAACGAGCATGGTGGGTGTGTGAGTAACCAAATTTATGCTGAGTAGGGGGAAAGGAATCCATTTACTTCCTCACTTCAAAACTGAACAGAACCTGAATCAGCACAGCTACGTAACGCGGTTGCTCCTGACACATTTGGGAAGATGTATTTAGCAGTCTAGTAGGGCGGCTCCGTCTCCGTCACCAGCGGACTGTCCCTCAGTGAGCCCGTGGAGTGAGCTGACACTGAACGCAGACAAGCCAAGATAACACCCACGTAATAAAAATAGAAGCTGGACCTGCCATGCTTCTTGACAATCAAATGCCATGCTGGCCTCCCTGTTCTAACCTTGAAAGAGGGTCATTTTCATTCGGGGACAGAGCGGTTCTCATATGGAACGGCTAAGGAAGCCAGACTATGTTGCTTTTATATTTTTGCTCAACCCAGCGTTTCCTGTTTCTGTGACCCCCACCTCACTCCCCCAGGGAGCAGAACCAACATCTCTGACAGGGTCCCAGAAGACAGTGTGGAAGGCGTCTCTGGAATGACCAGGGACAAATCATTTCAGATTCATCCTTTCAAAGCCAGAAAGCCCTTTCTATCCACGGAGGCTTTGGATACTGCTGGGAGAAAGGTATTTACAGGAAATCACGCAAAAGCAAGTAGGGAGGTCCAGCCTATGTGCTGTGTCTGTCCCTCTCTGGGCAACTTCAGTGTCGCCAACAGAGGCCCCTGGAAACACAGCCCCATGGTTGCTGGGTGAATGCTCAGTGCTGTCCATCAGAGACTGTACCAGAGAAGATCAGAGCCATGCGAAAGGCAAAGGGTGCCAGTGCGCCGTCCATCACACCACACACAGAGGAAGGCCCCAGGGAGCTCAGGATGCTGCTGGAAGCCAGAGCGGAGCGTATCATGCCCAGGACTCCAATTCTTCTAGAGAAGCTCTGTTTGTAATGGTGAGTGGAGGTGTCTGCGTGGGAGTGCAGTTCCCATGTGTCTCGGTGGCTCCAGCGTCAGCAGTGATAGGAACCATGCATGGGACTGGGGTTCTCCTTGATCTCAGAACTGTGCTCACCCTGCATCTGAACAAGCACTGTGGACTTCCAGGGCTCACTGCAGAAATGACACTTCTTGGTCAGAAACAACCTGAGTCTGCCCTGAACTCCATCAAGCGCCAGGAGTGAGAAGGGCAGCGGGACATGCACAGAAGCACTGTGAGAGAAGAGGCCTGAGCTTGCTGTGCGCCGAGAAGTCTGCAGCTGCAGGAGGAGAAGGCTGCGCAGCCGTGAGGGGCCCAGGCAGGGACAGAGACGTACTGACTCTTCCACCAACCGCAGCCTCCACCCGGGAAACTGCAGGTGTTGCTCACTGGTAGTAAGGGCCTGCTGGCAATACTCTATAATTAGTTTATCTCATCACAAACAACCGTTGCATTATTTATGAAGCTGTGCAGAATCTCATTAAGAGGATTCTTAATAATCAGGTCAGGAACAGTATTTTAAAAATTTATAAAAATGTAACCATTTTCTTAAAACATACTCTTCTACTATTTACTGCAGACCTATTCAAGGGCAAAATTTATTCTGAGGTTTACTTTTTAAATAAAGCCAGGTTCGAATTAGCTGAGGTTTAACTCAACTCCAAAATCCCCAGGAGGAGAATTTTCCGTTAGAAAGATGAATATTTAACGTCTGTGTTGCTATGTTGTTACTGTCAGAATAAATGAAGTCTTTCTTGCCTTCCTTCTGCAGGTATGGTTCACAAAAGTTCTGCTGGTGATCACTGCCATTCCCCAAAAACCAACACAGTCACTGGACAGGACCAGAGTGGTGAGTTTTTAGGCCTATTTTTAAAAAGGCCAGTGTGCATCACCTCTGGATTTTCCTTCTCACAGGCTTAACCTTCATTTATATTGTTTGTGGAGATTTACTTTATTTTAATGAATTAAATTTTAAAAATTTATTTTGGAGAAACTACATTACAGTGTCAAAACAGTTCTAGGGATTGAGGAAGCTCGCTCAGGTTTTCCTTGTCTGGAGACTTATACAGATCGAGTTCTAATGTCTATACTAGCTGTTAAGAACTGAAGAAAATTTTTTTCAAGCATTGGATAATTTATATTTTTGTCTACCATAATGTGTTTGAGCATTTCAGGGTTTATTGTTCTTATTCAATGGCATTTTCTTAAGCAATATTAATAAAGTAGGGAACGGGGACATTATTCCCCACCCCTCTTCTCCTTGCCACTGGCTCACTAAAGAATAAGCACCAACAACTCCACCCAAACAGGGAGGGAAGCTGCCTATGGAAGGCAGAACGAAAATAGGACCCGAAGGACCCAGGATGTGCTAGGGGTACCTTACCCTCGCCGTGTGTTCTCATGCATGGTCACAGAATTAATTAATCAGAATTAATTCCTTAAGTACAACTATTGTAGAATTTTACAGCTGAGGAAAGGGAGGCTCATGAAACTAATATCAGATTGTTTTATAAAAGACATTTCAGAAACACATGTTCTGAAATGTCAAGAAGGCAAGTGGCTCCTCTAAATCTATTTATTTCCCAAATAATTCATGAGTCCTTCAAACTTCAGCAAATAAATACACTGCCACAAATTAGCACTTCCACTTTGGAGTAGTTTCTCCTTTGTATTCTTCTAAGCAATCCATTCAAACTATGATCATATAAGTAAGAATCAGTTTTCAGTGATACAAGCAGCATAAACAGTGCTCAGGAAGTTTGGCTACTGAGATTCTTATTCAGTGGAAAGAAGTGTCTCCTGGCATGCAAAATAATTATGATTCTCAGAAAAGCACAGGATCATGGAAACTACTGGAATCCCAGCACTCAGAGAGTGTGTAAGATGTATGTGTATACTCTCTGGTCTGTTTTAAGCTTTAAATGTCCACAGCCATAAGCTGTACACAGCTAAAGCTTGACTTTCTATTTTACTTAAGTCATTTAATTTAAATTTTGTACAATCTATTCAAAAGCTAAGGATGCTATTCATTTCTCATCATTTGGGTACTTAAAAGGCTTTTCATTGTTGAAGTAATATTTCCCAATGTGCTACAGTTTGGAATTTCCTTTCAGAAAGCACACATCCTGATTTATTTGTCTGATTTCCATTCCACACATGAATTTATTTGAGGTTAACTATACAAGGTCAAATGTTTACTTTCTATTTCCTGTTGAGAGAAAAAAATCCAGAAGAAAAACATGGATAGGAAAAAAATTCAACTATAAAAGCTAAATTTCACTGGACTGAAACATACACAAAGAGAACTAAAAACTTCATTTCAGTAGTTGACTGCATATTTTCAACGCTGAAGCCTGGCATACTTTAATGGCTGGTTCCTTCATGTGATAAAGTCATCATGTCACCGAAGTGCTGGTAATTTTATTAGTTTTTTCTTTAACTGTCTGAAGTTTCCATTAACACCTAGCAAGTAAGTGTTGCTATTTTTTTCTGTTTTCTTTTTCTCTGTGCTCCTCCTGATCCATTAAAGGCAGACCTGGGGATGAAACTTCAATTTAATGCAATTTAGGGAGATGGGACATATTCTCCACCTGGGGGCCACCGAAATTATCGGGCTTTCATCAAGTGATGACCTACAACAGTGATGCAGAAGGACTCTGCCCTGTCCATTTTGTGAACCTGGGGTAAAGCCATGGCTTTCGGATATCCTCAGGAACTGCGTCATTTCAATGGCTGAATCTGCCTGATTCCTGAGAGTGCACAGCGCAGGCTGGGAAATTTACTGGACTGAAATATCTGTCTGCTTTTTATACAGAGACAATGAATGTAATCACCCTTTCTTGAGGCCTGCAGGGACCAGGGTGAACTTCTTTTTTGGTGGCAAGCTGTTAGGAAACTACCTTGTTAGAGGGGATAAATAACAGTTTGGAGTTAGAAGCCCTGGGTGACTTTCTAGCTGTGTGAGCACTTCAGATGCTTTGAATAAATACAAAAATAAAGCTAATAATTGATTGACTTCTGTGAGCAAACAGCTTCTGTGTGAGCAACGAGAAGAGGGGTGGGAACGTCCACTGTCACACCCGACACCGCGCACGAGCACTGTGGAGTCGCTCTGGCTGGCTCAACCTAGGTGTCTCCAAGGCTGCAATGAGCTCACCCCAGGCTGGAGCAGCCAGCTCTCTCCTCCCCTCGGAGAGTTTTCCTTATCCAAATCACTCTCTCTTCTGCAGCTCCCATCCATCAAAATAACATCCATTATTTCCTCATCAATAACCCAGGCAACCCTCGGGCCATCCTGCATCCATCCGTTTCTCCTCTCAGATGTGAAGGTCAAGTGACTCTCTGCTTCAGGAATGCGGGAACACTCCACACCAGCACTCACCCCTGAGCCTACCTGTCCTGCATCATCTGAAGCAGTCATCTCCAAAGGGACCACAGCAACTTTCCCAAGCTGGTCCAATACGCAGGACACCAAAGGGAATTCTGGACACATGC